ACAGATCAATACCATGGAACAGAGAAAGCTGTCAAAGAACAATATTCCCCAATAGTCACTGGGCTAAAAAGGTTTCATATGGGGCTCTGCCAAATCTTTAAAGAACAGATCATTGAAAGAATTGGTCTTAGTATAGAAAAAGTTTATCTTTGTCAAACAAGCACAACTTTGATAAGAAAATCTAACAGACCACACACACACACAACATCTACAAACAGTACATGGATGTCAATGTAATGAACATAGGAGTTCATCATACTATTCTACCTCTGTGTATGTTTAAAGTCTAGAGATCTAATGCACAACCTGAAGATTACAGATAATAAAAGTATACTGTATATGGGATTTCTGCTAAATGAGTAGATTTTAGCTGATCTTGCCACAGAAACCAAAAAAATGAGAAATGATGTAAAATGATGGATATATTAATTTGCTTCACTACAGTAACATTTTTACTATCTAAACGTACCTCATAACATCATGTTGTATACCTTAATTATGCACAATAAAATTTATTTTTTAAAAATTTCCATTATTCAAAGCTAAAATAAAGAATACTCAAGGGGAAAAAACTCTCTGTCTAGATACCATTTTTTTCACCTGTTCAATATGGTTAAACATGTAGGAAAATAGGTACTCTCAGTAAATTCTAGTTGTGGAAAGCAAATTGGCAATGTTTTTTTTCTTTGTTTGTTTGTTTTTTTGAGTTGGAGTCTTACACCCTCGCCCAGACTGGAGTGCAGTGGATGCTCCCCGCCACCACAGCCTTGACCTGCTTGGGCTCCAGTGATCCTTCCGCCTCAGTCTTCCAAGTAGCCAGAACTACAGGTGTGCGCTACCACACCCGGTTAATTTTTGATTTACTGCAGAGACGAGGGCTCACCAAGTTGCCAGAGTGGGTCTCGAACCCGTGGGATCAGGCAATCCATCCACCTTGGACACCCAAAGTTCTGGGATTACAGGCTGAGCCACCGAGCCCGGCCAATTTGGCAATGTTAATCAAAACTGCAAATGCACATACCCGCTGATGGAGCGATCCTATGTTTAGGAATTTGTCCTATATACACACTCAGATATGCATGAAATTACAATACATACAATAATTTACTGTAGGGTTGGTTGTCATAGCAAAGATTGGAAACAACCCACTAGTCATCAATAGGGAGTTGGCTAATAAATTATGGTACACTCACATAACAAAATTCTCAGAAGCCATAAAAAAGAAAAAGGAAGTTCTGCAGGTACGTAATTCCTTAGAGAAAGCTCTCTAAGGAATTACGCTTTTTAAAAAAGGTACAGGCAGGCAATGGTGGCTCAGCCTGTAATCCCAGCACTTTGGGAGTCTGCGGGTTCGAGACTAGCCTGAGCAACTTGATGAGACCTTGTCTCTACAATAAATCACACACACAAAAAAAACTAGCTGGACGTGGTGGTGTACGTCTGTAGTTCCAGCTACTTGGAAGGCTGAGGTGGAAGGATCGCCTGAGCCCAGCCGGTCGAGGCTGTGATGGCCGTGAGTGTGTCACTGTATTCCAGCCTGGGTGACAGAGTGAGACGCTGACTCAAAAGAAACAAAACAAGGTACAGACAAAGGTAGAGGCTACCATTTATGCAAAAAAGGGGAGCCAGTGGGCAGAAGTAGGAAGAAGGCTTTTCTACGTCCTTCTGAGCCTTTTGAATTTGGAACCATGTGGCTGTAATTTCAGGCTCAAAAGAAAGTCGCATTTTTAAAAATCCCACCCTTTGGAATGTACTACTGCCATTATAAAGTAATCATCCATTTAGAGTCACTTGCTATTCTTGCTACACTTGCTAGCTGTGTGGCAAGCCATATTTCAAGTAAGGGCTGATTCAGGTTCAAGAAACTTTCATTATCTTAACGGGCATAGAGAAATAATGCACACAAATGAAAGGGGACCAGTAGATCAGACAGACTGGTTATGCTTTAGAACGACCTGGGGATCTCCTAAAAACACCAATGCCCTACCTCCCACCCCCAGACAATTTACAACAGAAATTCAGGGTATGAGGCCCTGGCTTGAAAACCACTCATCCAAACGCTTCCAAACAGTGGTTCTCAACAAAGAGAAGCCCAGGGGACATTCTGGTCCTCCACAGGACATTTAGCAATGCCTGGAGATATGCTTGGTCATCACAACCTGGGGTGAGGGGTGCTAACAGCATCTAGTGGGTGGAGGCTAGGGACGTGGTCAAGCCTCCCACAGTGCACAGGACATCTTCCACCACAATTATATAAGCCTAAAACGGCAAGAGTGCTAAGGTTAGGAACCTCTGCTTTATTTAAAATAAAATCACTGCTTCTAAAGTAACAACCTGTTTTAGCCTTCACTTTTAAACACAGGAGATAATCTCTTTATTTACTAATGTGGGGTACATCACATAAGAAAGCTATTTCAGTGGCCACAGGAACAACAATGTCTTTGTTGACAAGGTCGCAACAAAAATTGTAAAAAAAAAAAAATTTGTGTACATCCTTTCTCTGGTCCCTATCTAGTTACTCTAGTCAAAATGCATGTTCCATTTGTGAAGTACTCAGGGAGAAAGACATAAAGTTCACAAACTAACAGACTAGGGGCTAATGTGATCTATCCATCTATTTTGTTTGCGCCTAAGTTTTAAAATACACTATATTGGTGCCAATCAGCTGACCCTTCTGGAGCCAGCCATATACCAGGAGTTTGTCATAGTCCCCATCTGGCTGGTTTCATTCACCTAGCCCTCCTCCCCACCTGGTCCTTTAAGCATTTGAGTTAGCCCTCTCCTGCAGTTTTCTCCAATCATACAAGGGCATAAAGCCTCTTTACTCTCCCCTCCTCACCTTAAAAATATCCCACGCCATTCTGAATTCTCAAACTCCCACATCACTTGCCAAAATAGAACTGCTATCAAGAGACAGAACTAAGAGAAAAGCAGAAGTAAAGATGGCCTTTGTCAGATAACTCCCTTCTCTTAGTTGTCCTGTCATTAAAGATAGGCTGATTACAACCTGATTCATCTGAGTGTTACAAACTAGGCTTACAGTTTCTAGCAAATTCCACTATAATTTTATATAGCTCTTCTGTGAGCTTCATTATAAGGAAAAAAAATTATTATACTTCTCTCACTATCCTAGATTAGTGAATCCCTCCATCCCTCCCAAAATAGGTTAGAAGACTTTTTATGGGAAATACCTATCAAAAGATTGGATAGTTTTCTTTTAAAAAGTTCATGCCTTTTTCTTTGAAATCACTATCATATAGTTTTGAGCTATGCTTTAAAGATCACCTGATATAATCCACACGTTTTATTAACAAGAAAAATGAGCCCCGAGTGAGGTTTGTTCATTTAGCCAAGGCCACACTGAGTTAGTAGCAGAGCCAGAATTAGAACATTTGTTTACAGATACTGGCCCCATAGGTTTTCCACGATGATAACAGCAACCCCCACTGTGGTTTTCCTACTCAAGTAACAACCTTGCCAAGGTACCTATTAACATGGGTAGACACTAGCTGTTAGAGAAATAAATTAGCCAAAATTTTGGCCACGCTATTGGAGTTATCACTTAAACTTTGAAGGTGGAAGGAATTAGGACTTCTGGAGTCCTCTTGCTCCTTTTATTGTGAATTAATCTGTCTCAGTTTACCCTAATGAAAGGCTGACACTTTTAGAATTCCCTAAACCATAAATTAGAGATGAAAATATATATTTACAGCAACAGCAACATTTTTTTAAAAACTGAAGTCAGGAACTGCTTCAAACCTCTAGAATTCTCACGAGTGGCCAGAGATGGTAAAGTTAAGCTACCAAAAAGTGTGTGGAAGTGTTTTTAGGATGCAAAGATCAACATTTCACTGAACTTTGACTTTCATCATCATTCTCAGGCAAACTGGTTTCTAAAATTTTCATTTGGCCTCAGCTTTAATCTATTCCTCTCTTCCTGTCCTAGCTTTAAAAAAAGGCATGGGCGACATCACATTTTGCATATCGGGTCTTTCCCCAAATGTTCTACCTACTCTGCACTTTAGTTTGTATGCCCAACTGACACCATCCCCTGACATTTACATAAAATTCATTAAATGAAAAGATGCCCCATTATTTTCCCTTGAGAACTTAGAACATCTTTGCTGCTGCATTTTATTTTCTTTCGGGGATGCTGAGTTCCATTCTGATACTTCGGTGCACACTTTTGTTTTACTTTCGGGTGTTTCACAGCCAGCTCCCTTGTTTTCTGGGGAAACACGATCCAGTTAACAGAAGGTGATGGAATCTATTCCCATCTCAGCTAGGCCTCACGGGGCGGGGGGGCGATCTTCTGTCCTCCCACTTCGATCCGTGGAAGCTGCCCACCAGCCCACTGGACGGGGGAAGGTTGGTGGGACACCAATGGACAGGAGCGACGAAAGGTGCTGGCACCGAGGCAGAGTTGCGTTAGACCCTGCTCTGATGCTAGGAACCCAAACGTCCGCTCTTGCCGAGTATCTAAGACGTTTGTAGTCCAGGCCTCTAACTGCTTTAACATAACCTGATGAAGACAACAGTGCGAGTTCTGCCACTCTAGCCACACAGCAACATCTTAGAGCAGAAAAGGAACAAAATGCCATTGCATAATTTATTCAACCTCAAGGTGTTTCTAAACAGCTCTTACCCAAACCAAAAAGAAAAAAAAATTCTAAGAATAAAATAATTAAAAAGCCGTCTACATTTTGTTCTGAAGTTTTAAGTGCAGCGAGGTTTGTGTAAAGTAGATTTAAAGCTAATGATAGCAGGTTTGGGGAATCCCGCCTGCAATGAGGGTCCTGCAATGAGACTTGGTTTCCGTATCTCCGGGTAAGTCCTCGGCTGGATGTGAAGGTGCCAGGCCCTCCCTGCCCCTAAGCGCCTCAGGAGAGACCCCGAACACCCCCAGCCCCGCCCGCAGTGCCCTCGGACTTTGCTCCCAGGCAACAGAGACCCGCGGCCCCGCCACCCGAGCCCCTGGAAGCCCATGGCCTCGCGCTCACCGAAGTCAAGAAACTGTTTGATGGAGAGCGGCGATGGCGAGAAGCGCGAGTAGCGCTCGATCTGCTTGGGCACCGGCTGCTTCAGCAGCCACCGGAACAGCCGCATCCTTGCCGGGGCAGTGCACAGCCCCGCCGAGATGCCCAGGCGGCCGCAAGGGTTAAAGCAGCCAAGCCGTGCGGATCCGGCACGTTCGTTAAGCG